TATATATATATATATATATAACTGACCGTTTTAGATTACCTAAATGGTTGTTTTCACATATAAGCCATCATCACTGTTTTCTCTCTTGCACCTGTAAATGTTTATAATGGTGAAATTTTCCAATGTCAAAATCAAGTCTGCGTTGTTCAGGAATTTATGCTCACCAAGATGGAGGCTGATGGTGGAAATACCAAGGTGGCGATGAACTCCTTGTCAACAAGTCTCAAAAATATAACTGACATAGTCTAATTGCAGAACTAGACAATGTGATAGAGAATGGAGAAACGAGCACAAGAAGTTAATGGAGGAGGTGAGCACAAAATAGGATCAAATGTATGGTGACAATCTAGAGGTTATATGAGAATGTCAATTTTCGTTGATGAAGAATGTAGAAATTAATGTTGGTGGTTATTGTGTGACCACTGAAAGTGCACCAAGATCTTTGAGAAGTGCTACTTTGGCATCATCCTCATCATGTCTAGTAAATTATAAGTGACAATAGAGCGCAATGACTTAACTAGAAACCGTGGGACAACTTTGATATCATGAATGACATTATAAAGAAGAAACATCATGTTATTAGTTTGTCCAACTCATGAAAGAGTTATATGCAGGGAAGCACCTAGTTGTTGTAGAGATTTTATTTGGTTGGGAGTTAGAAATTATTTAACTTTTTTGTCATTAGCATATAATCTGTTTTTATATAGAAACAGAGGAACCTGATTCTTTCTCTTCTGTTCTGCTTTTCATTTTTGCCTTTATATAGACACTTGCACTATAGCAAAAGAAATAAACTTATTTTCAATTTCTGTAACATGATTTTTTTTGCTTGACTAAGGCCATTGATAGCTCTTTGTATCCATATATCACATAAACTCAATTGCCCTTCTAAATATCACATTACATCACTTGCTCAGATATGAAGCTTCTTAACTGTTTGCATGCTGCCCTTGCTTGCCTTGATGTCTTGTAGTGGCTGGTTCAGTCACATACTACACGTGCAACTCTCTTGACTGCCCTGTGTTCCTGATTGATTGCTTGTTTTGGTGCCCAAATTTACCTCCTTGCCTTGCCCACCTGTCAACTCGTTCTCCCATTTAGGCTTTCTTTGTGTTTGCTCTTTTTGCTCTCGTGCTTTGTTTATTCAGCTCTGCTCATAGAACCTCTTGCCTTGTAGTTTTTTTTGTTCTATACTCCTTGTTTGTACTTCTGCTTGCACATGTGAGTGTTAAATAATTTTATATTGGTGATTGATCCTTTGTATACTTTTTTGATGGCATCTCTTAAAGCAAGAAATATCTTTAATATCTTAATTGGAGAATATTATGACTTGAATTAAGGATGAATTTCGTCATGATGCAATGTCATATTTCATGCAATGTCATATTTCAAATTAAATAATACTCTTGTCCTTAAACCATGGAATTAAGGAGTTTATGCTAATTAAATATTATTAGAGGCAATTTAAAATTTCAAATTTAAAATTCTCTCCTTTAAATAATGATTTAAATTAATGAGTTATATCCATGTGTATTATCCATTATGCATTATTTCAAATTTAAAGATGATATAATTGACCTTATGCAAGAATTTATTGACTTAATTTATTATTGTAAATTCTTATTTAATGGATGAAAATATGTATTGGTATTGTAATCTGGCTCCATTTATTTTACCACAACAACAACAAAGCCTTAATCCCACTATGTGGGGTCGGCTATATGAATCCTTTTTCTCCATTTATTTTACCACGAAAAAAAAAAAAAAACAAATAAGAAAGGATTTACATCTTGGATTATTTCATTTTAAAACCTAATAAATCAAATCGAAATATCCATCTCAGCAATCCATCTAACAATTCGATGATTGTTTTTTCTTTTATTTGAAATTGCTAGCATGTGTCCATTTAATGTCGCCACTCCCCTTCTATCCAGGGATGTCCATGAGCTATCATACCATAATAGGATAGTTTAAGGGGATGGGAGGTTGCAGCATTTACAACTTTCTCCCTAATCTGATTTATAATCATGCAACAAGCCAAACATGTCAATTAAGTTTTTTCAAAATTTGTCAAACCAATCCTTCGGTCTAAGATTTCAAAAGTCCGATTGTATGAAAGAATATATATAACAAAGATCCAATTTTAATTGTTTCTTTATGAAAAGTCAATTTATCTCTGCGTGTTTTGTCCGATCATGATAGAAAATTGTGTGCTATTGTCAGAATTTACTTATATAAGAGTTCTGATTATTTATTGAAGTTGTTCTAGAGTAGCTTGAGCTAAAATTAATTGGTTAATTACATTGGCCATTGATTTGAGTTCTGTTTCAAAACTAGTACTTACCAAAATAATTCTATGTAATTTTTGGGCAATGAGATGTCTATAAATATAGTTTTTATCTTGGCTTTCTAATCAAATGAATATAATTCCAATTATTAAGCATGTCTTTTATCTCTCTTTCTCTCCCATTAATCCTATTGCCAGAAATTTGTTTCTTCACCTCTTTCCATTTTTCGGCATATCTTTCTTGCTTCTATCAGAAGTTCTATTTCTCATTGACTCGATCATCTGCAAATTTACTATTGAGTACTTTGGATGATTTGACTTCCACTGCGTCCAAGATGCTTCAAAAGATGCAGTTCTTCTCCCAATCTTTGAAACGAAGAATGAGTTTGCCTGTGGATGCATCTTAATTAGGGTTTTCTATTTCTATTTTCATACTAATTCACACTTTTTGATCCTCATGTCATCTTGAAAAACTTTTTAATGATTATTACATTAATCTCATAGGAAACCCTAAATCTTTGCATTGCCTCTTGTATACGATGACTTTGCATACAACAAGAAGAAGAAACTTTTATCCCACTAAGTGAGGTTGGCAATGCTGACTATGCATGTATGGTAAAGATTGTATGTTAAGAAATCTAATATATTTTTCATACCTTTGATTTTGTTTCTGATGTCCTGCATAAAAGGTTTAGTTTCTTTAATAAACTTTTGTTATTAAAAATTTTATCAATTTTTATACCATTCAACTTTATTATTCCCTAGTAAAATTAATTTCGTAACAAAATTGTGTTGTGTTGTGGAGTTGATTCTGCATCATTGATTGACTTATTTGCCATTAATGATTTCTGAGGACAACTAATTAATTAAGTACTTCAAAATTTATGCAATTCTTGCAGTCTTAGAAAGAAATATTCATGGTACTACGCCAATTAGTATACTTTGTCTTATTTGTTCCGATAATATTCCCTTACATTCTAACTTGTCGACAAATCGCTTGATCTTTCTGGTAATTTTAACAAACCTAATAAAATTTGAATTTCTTGCAAATTTTGATGAATCATTATATTTTTTTTAAAAATACTATGTTGAGGACACAGGCATTCCTTTATTCGATTGACTTGTGTTTGGGCATGCTAGACAGTCAAACAATCTGACTTGTTTTTGTTGTTTACTAAATTGCTAAGATTTGAATTTTCTTTGAATGGTTTTGGTCGTTGTATCGTATGCCTCGTCTCCTCTCCTATACTAATACGAAATGCATAATGACAGTTTGCTACCTATTTTTTCATTCACTTGCATTCCTTCGGTGCAGTTCACTGTTATTGGAGTGCATTCTGCAAAGTTTGATAATGAAAAAGATCTTGAAGCCATTCGTAATGCTGTCCTGCGCTATAACATCACTCATCCAGTAAGTAAAATGTTTAAATTCATTGTAATGAGTCAGGAGATTGTTGTTGCTGTTATGCTTTATTGAAGGGCAAGAAGTTAGCTTTACTGTTTTTTTATTATTGTTATAAAGTAATAATACCTGTACAATTTATGTTTTAGTCATGGTATATGCTGTGTTTGAATTTTTTTGAAATGATAGGAACACAAATATCATAAACTAAAACATGTAAAATTTGCAACCACTAATATATGATAGTGAACTTTAAATGCAAAATGTCTCATCTTTGTGATAAGGAAATTGGATTTTATAGATAGAAACTCTGGGGCATGAAGATGATTAACTAAACTATATTTTGTTTGGGAAACCTTAATAGGTCCTGTTTTCTGATAGCATGAAACCAGGACCGTATGTCTGTTCTTGAAGCTGAAACTTCCATTTCATAGGATAATATCTTTTGGTTTAATAACTAGGAAGTTATGTTTATGTTACATCTTTGTGCACTTCTATTAATGCTAAATTTTTTTGTCGAATTATCTTTGTTTCATTAAAAGTATTGAAGATGGTGTTGGATAGCTGTAGGTCTGTTATAGGATGTGGTTGCATTTGGAAAAAAAAAAAAATTTGAACTGGTTTTCATCCATGTAAAATTTGTTACTCGTCAACCTATTAATGAATATCAATATTTTATTGTGGTTGTTTATATTTTATAATGAGTAGAATTTGTTGCAGAAGGAATGCTCTTAGCAATTGAACTATTTTTAGTATGATACCATGATTTGTACTCCGAATATTAGAGATTGAACAAAATGTTATTTTTCTATATTTACATATAGTTCAGCTGGGCATCTTCTGTATGGTCGTTTATCTTATTTTCTCATATGCCATGACATTATCTTCTTGTCCACTTAATAAATGGAGATTTAGTTTCCAGTCTGTAGCTGAGAACATCAGTTTGACTTTTAATTAAGGTGGTCAATGATGGAGATATGTATTTATGGCGAGAACTTGGGGTGAGCTCTTGGCCTACGTTTATTGTTGTTGGCCCTACTGGAAAGATTCTAGCTCAATTAACTGGGGAAGGCCATCGCAAGGTATTTTTGTTCGTTGATTTCATTTCCTTAATCATTAAGTGATACAGCAATCCATTCTTTTTACAATGTCTATGTAAAATGTATCAGTTTTTTCTTGCTTCATATTTCAAACTTGTCTGTGCATGCTTTCTTGTTGGAATTAGGAATGACAGTTTTATTACATTATCCTTGTAGTGTTCCTGATGAAGTCATTGAAATGGTACTCTTTTCAATCATTTTTTGCCACAATTTTTCTATCAGCATTTATATGGATGAAAATTTTTTCACAGATTTCCCCATGCTATTTTCGTGGAAACTGAGAGTGAGGGCCGTGTAAGGTTTATGATATGATGCCCTCTTTTTTAATATTTGTTTTAAATTAAAATAATTATCAGTAATATTTGCTTTGATACTACATACTTTTCAAGATGTCAGATTTGAGGTGCAGAGTAGTTAAATATTAGAAGTTATTTAAAGGACACTGTGCTCTCTTTCTTGTTACAAATGAGACCATTGAAATTATCATTAATCTGTAGATGCTTTTTCAACTGATATTATTTGCATCCTCTGTTGACTTAAAATCACTCGACTGTTTCTTTTCAACAACAACAACAACATTAAGCCTTTATCCCACTAAATTTTTTTGTTTGTTTTCTTAAATCTATTTTTATTTTCGTAAATGTTTCTTTGTTGTTTTTTCTTTATATTTTTCAGGATCTTGATGATTTTGTAGATGCAGCTCTTCAATTTTACATGGAAAAGAATCTATTTGGTGCAACACCTATTCCACTGGCCCTAGAGAAAGATGAAGATCCTCGTTTATTGATGTCCCCATTAAAATTCCCTGGGAAGCTTGCAGTTGATGCTCTTAATAACAGAGTCTTCATCTCTGACAGTAATCACAACCGCATTGTGAGTTTCCTAGTTTCTTCCTTCACCGCTCTACCCTCCCTCCTCTCCTCTAATCCCAAATTTACATTCAATTAATAATGACTAAAGCTGTCTCAATAACGATGCTTCTCAATGATTTAGATGTCTAGATATGCTACAAAACTATGAATGATTCTTTGCAGGTCTATATCTTACATTCTCATAGCTTAATGTCTTTTGCTTCTGGAATCTAGGTTGTAACAGATCCTGATGGAAATTTTATTATTCAAGTTGGAAGCAGTGGGGAGGAGGCTTTACGTGATGGTTCTTTCGATGATGCTTGCTTTAATCGTCCACAGGTAATACTTATGCTAGTGACTTCGAAATCTACACCCTAGTACAAGTATTAATTTGTAAAGTTATAATAAACAGAAAAATATGAAAATTGTCTATATGAATGCCTGACAAAAATAGAAAGGACAAATTGTGAAATGATTTTTAGAGGATTTGAAGATAATTATAATAAGCATGTAATATACAATAAAACATGAAGTTGTACTAGTGAGATAGGCTAATAAAATTAATGTAAAATGACTAGAAAAGTAGCCTGAAGATAATTTGTGCAGAATATGTTTAATTTGCTGAAAATAGTTTTAACACCTAATTTAGTGTTGTTTACTTCAATAACTATTCCAATAGGACCTTACCTTAGTTTTTGTTGAATGCATTGGCAAAGATGGACAGTGGACATAGGGTCTCAGAAAATTAATTTGAAATGTATCTCCCTCATGAAAACCATTTAATTGTGACTTGTTTCACAAAAGGGATCAATCTGATATTTTTATAACATAAAAAATACTTGAAAAGAAGCCCACATCACCAAATTCAGTGTATGGGAAAAAGATAATAACTCACATTCATTCACGGTGTGACGCTGAGCGAAACGCTTTCTTGTGAACATGCCTGGATGTTGGAATTTAGGGGCTCGTGCGCACTTGTGCCCGACACGGGGGCGCTATGGCCGCATGGGAGCGGAAAATGCTGCTTGGCAACCGCTCAGTTCAGGTAGTAGAAGGATCGAGTAGTCATTCCTTGCGCATGGTTCCTTCTTATGTGGAGTGAGACCTGCTCCTCTTTACCTTAAAACTATATATTTGTTATTTGTTGTGTTTTTGGTCCATTTTTGGCTCAGACTTGTTTCCCTTCTAGGGCTATATACAAAGACGAGAATGTGCTTCGGCTATAACTTGTCTGATGTGGTAACCTTCTTCCAAAGGTCGAGTGGTGCTTTGGTTGTAGTTTGTTCTCGAGGTAGTATTATCATCGACATTTCCTTCCCCGCACCCTCGCTTCGGTGCCACACCTCTTTCCTTGTTGAAATCACCCAGGACAACTGTTGTTGCTGTTCTTTTCTGCAAGTCCTCTTTCTAGCCACCTCGCTTTCACAATCCCTGCTATCTACCTTTTGAATCAACTACCAGCCCGCCCTCTTGCTGTTTCTGACAGCTGAGAGCGTTCCAGCCACCCCATGTCCTCTGCCCTCGTTGTCCCAGCCCTCCATCCTCACTACCCCCGCTGGCCCAGCCCTCCATCCTCACTACCCCCGCTGTCCCAGCCCTCCAATGTCGCTGTCGCAGCACACAACACCTTCCCTTTACTGTTTTTCTTCTTTCCAGCCCTCAAACAACTGACTTTTTGCTGTTTGGACTGTCGTTTTTTTGTTATTTTGCTGTTCCAGCCACCCATAATCGTTGCTAAAGTAATAATAATAATATAAGCTCTTTAGCTTTCTATGAATATTGTTGGGTGTTTTGTTTTAATTGAGGGTGAGTTTTGGTTGATGGTCGTAAGAATGGAATATAAGAAGCCAAGGAGATTATAATGCATGGGAACCAAATCAAGGTTAGAAATAACAAGTAAATTGTATTTGGGTTAAATTAAGGTATCAGTTAATTATTTCATAAAATTTTAGGAAATTATGATTCCAAGTAGTTTACATTTGGCCTCGAGCTTGAGGCGAGCTTGAGGGAACTCCTTGTAGGACTGCTCCATCGATTCACTTGAAATAACTGTGCTAAATTAAAAATAATAACTTTATGTAGGATTTCTATGTAGCTCTTTTGACATATGATGCATTTAAAATTTCTTCATTTTGTGAGTGTCTGTTCTTGTTGGCACAATTGTAAGCTCGAACTAACAGTGTCAATGTTTATGATTTTACCATTTTATTTATATGATGAACATATTTATGAAATAGTTTCTTGCTGGCATTTATATACTATTGTTCATGCATATTATGCATGGTTTCTCTTTGTCGAATGATTATTACAAGAGTTATGCTTACATGAATGTCGCAAGTATTATGATAGGTGGGCTATTATATGAATGCTTGCAAGTACAAATAATAATGAAAACAGGGATTCATAACTTTTGGTATTCAGACGGAGACGAATCCAAAAACTATTGATTGTACAGAGACAAAAACTTGGGAACCGAATTATTAATAACTGCTATGTTGGGAGGGTCCATACCTTCAGCGATAGTTAATTTAGTCTTCAAACTCCCAATGACACAAATATAGTCAATGCATATACAATTGCAAGTGACATTCCTATGATTATAGTGATTGTTAAATTCTTATGGGCATGCCCTTGATTGGACATGAATGTATGAAACACATGTTTTATACAATTGTCATGATTTATTATATTTCTTGCCTTTTTTTAAATGTATTATATGATTAAAGCATGTTGTGATATGTTCTACTGTTAGCATATGAGCTACAAATGATCATGCACGTTGTCTTTCTTTCTATGTATAAAATCCTACTTTAGCCTTACTTATTTGGTTAAGTTTGTAGCTTACTCTCTTACATTATGGATTTTATTAGGAAAGATTATGGAACATCAGGGCGATGTTGTATTGCTTTTGTATTCTATAGTATTTGTAATTGTATAGAATGTTGGGTACGTTTTTTTTTATATATGTTGGATTTCTCAGCTCTATATATGATCCTTGGTGATATGATTTTTCATGTTTTCAAATATATGAGAATGTGTATGAATTATAAAATGAACTGGATTAAGAATGTTTGTGATGAGTGAGGTTGACTGATTATTATCTACTAAGTCCTGATTATGCAAGTCTGGACGAGCGACATTTAGAATTTCTTCTGATTGAATCGTCAGCCTCTTTTGCACCACTGTTGACCCTCAATTTGGATATGACAATTTTACATTCTAAAAAATATCAAATTCAAAGATTAAATTTTTGAAAAGTTCGCTATTGCTTGAGAAAGACATTTGATCGCTTTGAAAAGCATGCAAAATGTACTTTCAAATTCAAACCCATCATTATTCGAGCATGCATTCCAGAGGTTTTATCTGCATATATGCTGGGTTGTAGTTTTGTATTTCTTGCCTCGTCCTTCATAAAATAAAGTTGGAGCTAACAATAGTTGTGCTTTATAGCTTTCAAATTTTTAGAAATTAAATGCAATTAAGAACAGCTTTGCTTATAAAGTATGGTTTGCGTCTTTTTTTAATATGATCCTCCTCATGTTGAACACTAAAGTTGATTTTGTATACATTTCAATAATTGTTTATTCAAACAAAAGAGCGCTATTTAAAACTTATGCTTTCATTCTATATAAACAAACTAGTGTTATCATAGTCTCTAGAATCAAAAGCTCAGCTATTAATTTGTTGAAGATTTTTATTTTTGTATGAGATCTTCTAGACCTTTCTTATTATTTTTTTTAATGAAAACTCTATAGCTTGCATAGTTTACAATGTCTGTAAATTTCAAACCCAACCTCTGTAGTTAATTGAGCATAGCTAACATGATTACAGTAATGAATTTTAATCTTCTAGCCATCATTATGATAAACTGTTTGCCACACATTACGATCAAAGTTGCCTATTCTATCAAAATCAATCTCTTAATCATGGAGAGAAATAATTTATGCCAAATTTTCTGATAATAGTGCTAACCCAAATAATCATTAGGAAAGCAGATGTTATTACTGAAATCAAATATGCGATTACGACTCAAACACACTTGAAAGGGAAAAAAATAATAGACAAGACACACAGATGTCCATAAGGGTGGATCTCTGGGTGGTGGTCATTAGGGATTTGGAAAAGTGGCGTTCAGGTAGAGGAGGGGTTGGACTTTTGGGAGACAGGGCCACAATAATGGTGGCTTGCTATCCTAGGAGGAAGCAAGTAGGAAAGAGCGGAAACAATAAGAGGACGACAAGATAAGCGACAAAACCTTGATGTTTGGGTGGCAGTAACAAAATAGGCGGATGGCTAGTAAGTGATGTCTGGTTAATCAACAATACTTTGCTGTTTAGGTGTGGCGGTAGCAAAGTAGAGGGCTTTTGGGGTGGCTATGTGGATTGAAATTTGGTAGGAATGGCTGGGACAACAGAGTAGCAACAATAGCCAGTGGTAGGGATGATTGGGGGTCTTGGAACGGGCAAAGACAACAACTCGTTGTTCTGAATGGTGGCAGGCCTACAACAAACCAAAATGCTGATGCTAGTGGCTGGAAGATAGGGAAACTAGAGGGAAACAGTAGCAGACGGTTGTTTGGGTGCAACTGCAACAATGAAAGGCAACCATTAGCGATATGGGTAGCATATTGAAGGGGGATAAGGAAGATAATCACCACCTTAGGAGTGAGATACAACTGAAACACTATCCAAACCCTTGGATACATCGCTCGTAGGGATGTCTCGTACAAAACTCTAAGAAAGAATTAACCCTAGAACATTAGAAACACAAATATAATTATAATAACATAAGTAGGAGTGGGCCCAAGGGATGGTCGATACTCCAGAACATAAGAAAGTCTGGATTGAGCTTGTTTAGGCAAGCTGGCACTCCTCATGCTTACTTGGGAGAGGCCTGCACCCCGCTCCCAAGTGGGAGATGCCCGCGCTAGTCTCCCGGAATTGCGGTAGCTTGGGCCTCATTCGTCAAAGCTCTTGTCAGTACGTTGAATATGACGACGCGGCTATAACCTCCCAAGGCTAGAGAATCTTTAATCTAAGAAGTACTTCAATCTTGTTGTCGACTGCATTGTCTCCCAACATACCTTGAGAGTTTTCCCACTTATCCGTAACCATCCATTTCAGTTCAACAATTGGGTGGTACGTTGCTGAACTAAATAGGGTTTTCGTGCCAAGTATACTCTACAATGTCTTTTAAAAATAGTCTAAAATTATCTCACTCCTATCTAACATGAGGACAAACTGAACTCCTTCCAATGGTGGTGGCCTTGGTGTTAAGATATCGATCATGCTGTCCTAAAATGCTTTGTAGTGTCTGCCCCATATATGGAATTGGTGCTT